GTACATTTATTGCCATCCACACATTACGCCCAACTGACCTTTACTTAAAGTTTGACTATTCAATACATTTTTGATGTCTCAAGTTAGAGTCTTGAGGTCTGTCTTTATTTGTAGAGAAAATAGGACAGGTGTTGAGCTTAGATTTGAGTTCCAGAATATATACATAAATCATCTTCGTGGAGTAACTGGATAGACAAGACCTGGTGGGATAAAAATGTACAAGGAAACGTGCCCTCGTCTTACATCCTGCACGTTTATTTCTGGGGAGTTAAATTCACTTAATAAAAAGATAGGACCCTCGATTGCGACTTCTGGTTTTAAGCGATGCAATCTATTTTTCAAATATCAGCTTGGACTGTAATGAAAAGGTGCATCATATAAAATGGGTTATTGTTTTGGATGGCACTATCTATCACTTGACCGTTTAATTATTCTATCAGATTACTGCGATCTTCTCAAGTACACTACTCAACTATGCTTGATTTGTGGTATAAATTTCAAATCATAATGAGAAAAAAACATACTTACAATTTTGTTAACAAGGACGACTGCTTGAAATTATTTTTTGTTGCATAATACCTGAGGTGTTGACACAGGGTACTTAATAATAACACCTAAGCAGAATTGAGAGACTAAACGTTCGAAAAAGATACGTTTTAAACGTAATCGTTATATTGTTACTTTCTATTTAAAAGTTCTTTTTATTCATAGATATGTTAAATGCTACAGCATTCTGTTTTAGTTTTTGTTTTATGAATTTTCTTCGATGTTGCAGTAATCTGTTTGGCACGATGTTTAACTTTCCGATACTATAAGTTTCAGAGCCAAATCACGCCATATCGGTTTTTTTTTAAGTTTAAATATGCCATTATTTGAGACATTTATAATATGTTTGATTCATATTTAAAGCATAATAATTTTTATTTTAATATATAATGAAGTTATATTATAATGTTATATTATGATGAATTAGTGCAACATTCACTAAAACACCATATCAATGTGGTTAAATGTAAATTCATGCGAGACTTAAATGCTGCAAAATAGAGTAGATGGTTATATGTAACCACATAATGTGGATATACAATATTATATTAAACAATACTTGTCATGTACTTATTGGGCGAAAATGTAATGGAAAAATTATATTATAATTACTATTATTGATATAATATTTTTTATGTTTTTAGAGTGATACCTACAACAATGGATTGAATAAATCATAAGACAAGAATTAATATTTTTACAAGTAATTTGTACATAGTTGATAATTGTGTTTGAATATTAATAAAAACTTTTACATAATAAATAAATATGTCTTTTCATAACACATTTAATTATGAATTAATGACTAGCTAGTGGACTTGTCATATGTAACCTTTTAACATTATTCATTATCGTAAATAGGTATGTTTTACTAGTTCCTACTTTATATAAACATAAAAAACGCGTACAAAGTAAGAGTGAACTCCAATTTGGTTCATAAACGTTTTATGACTCGATTCACACCTTGGGTCTACCATGAGCTCTTACGCTAAGAACTCACGAAGCGGTTTGCGCCCCCGCCCGAGTTTTATTTAAAACAAAAAAACCGTATGTTTATTTCTGAAATGTTCAAGCGATTTTCTTCAGAGAAAGTCCATGACGTATACAGAATTTAGTGAACCAATCTGGTGCTTAAACATCGTCCTTAAATCGGGTAATATAGTGTTCTGCTAGAAAAATTAGGTAGGTACTTCTTTTGTAGATCGCCCAAAACCCCATTTTTCCAAAACTTTAAGGCCATTAATTGCTGCTCCAAATGTCAGAACCTTTATTTTTACTTTTTCTATGGGTTCGGCCACATCGCCTTGAGTATAAGATTTTTCACGTAACGATAACGATTTCCGGACGTGGTTATGAGGCATGGTTACTGAATAAAACAATTGCAATTTTTGAATAATTAGGTATTAATAATAACCCTATAAACTTTCAACCATAATTCATAAAATATTTATTTATAATTATGCAAGTTGAAAGTTTATAGGGTTAAAATAAAATAAATTTATTTCCTGTTACCAGTTAAAGTTTAAGAATAACTGAATTTTTGTATGACACTTGGGAACGGAGTAAGATCGAAACTTTTGTATATTTTTTTTTGGGTAAAGATGGAAAGTTGAGATAATATTCCAAAATTACTAAAAATAGCCGTATTTTGATGTGATTTCGTAACTAAGAACAAAAAACTATAATTAAATATTCCTATGAAATAGTCGCACGTATCTTGTAATTAAAGTTACAGCACACGGGGTAAGATTAAATCACTTGAAGATTTTACGAAAAAATCACGGCGCAGAAATTATTCAAATTTACGCACTCCACGCACTCTAGACGGCTAATTTCTAATGGCTTATGTTTAACTTACCACCAGGTATAGTACATATACAGACAAAAATAGTAAATGATTACCAAAATTAACCCGCATTTTAATGTAAAATTACAACCTAAGTTTTAACATCTCGCTATCCTATTTAAGCAAAATGACTCCAAATAAATCATTGTTAACCCAAAATAGTAAATATCGCAAAATTAAACACATTTTAATGTAAAATTATAACCAAAGTTTTTACATCTTGCTATCCTATTTAAAACTGGTCCAAAAACTCATTTTAGCCCAAAAATAGTTAATGAAAACCAAATTATTAACCATATTTTAATTTAAAATGAAATGCAAAAATAAAATCTCGTTATCGATTAAAGTAATTACCTCGGCAAAAAATATTTTGCCAAACACAGTAAAGTAAATTTACTCCTAACCTTTTTGTCTCCAAATTGATTAACCACTACAAAAAAATTATTTGAGGTTTGTTTACAACCAAATGCTATACCTAAAATAAAAAATAAAACTCTTACAATTTCAATAATCCCTTTTTAATTATTGAAACAATCATAAAAAGATAGTCCTCTTAAAACTAATAATAAACATTCAAAGACTTAAACTAAACTAATAATAACATTTAAAAATCTTAAGAAGAATCAGTCTTTGTATAATTCACGAAATTAATCTTTCTTACTTTGGCTGGTTCCCTTTTGGTTCATGCCAATGGAATACTCTGGCCTCTGAAGTCTGGACGTGCTTAGCCAATCGCCAATCCCGAGATCTTGCAAATTAATCTTTGAGAAACTTTGGGAATTGATTGCCGTTAACCAATTTTCCTTTTCTCGGCATATAACTTCCCACTCTCTAAAATGTTGCTTTTTATTGTAAAGTCTCCATGGCTTTTATAATTTTTGCAATCTAATCGACCCAGCTGGAATTCTGTATGAGAAACTACTCATACTATTCTTTAATGACTGCTTCGACATTTTGCCATTGGTAACTTTTTCCACATCTTTAAAGATACTGTGGAGTTGAGGAACCGTCTTCAGTATTATTAATCAGTATTCATTAGACCAGTCCTTGACTATATCAAAGCAATTATAAGAACCGCGCCAAAGGATACGCTCACGAAGCGTGCCACCATCTTTATGTTTTATTGAAAGATTCCAGAATTTTTGTACAGGATCCCCAGAGATGCGCCCAAATACCAAAACGATTTATTAGCCATTCATTTTCAAAGTATTAAAAAATCTTTTTCGCTTTCCACTTGTCCAAAAATTTTTCCTGCTCGATCAATATTTCCTGATTGAGGCACACTTAAAGCATCAATATCTTGTAAGATCTCTTTTGGGATTTCTTTTGCACACTTTGCTCTACTCTTGTTTGCATCTTCTTTTTCGCATGCGCCCAGACATTCTTATGACTGTATCTGTTCCAAATGTGACGAAAGGCAGTTTGTATAGCCTTCGCTGCATCACAGACCAAAACTTTACAACTTAAAGTGTATGAAAATATTGAGAAAACTGCTTTTTTAATGGGAAAATAAAAATATGAAGTCTTCCGTTCGTTCAGCTGTTGTCACAGCTAATCCAAATGGGTGAAAATGTTTATCCTGTTGTATTCCAATCACAAGTACTGGAAACCCTTGCCAAATGAGCTTATATGTGGCATCCGCGTGAAGAACAGAACATTGGCGTGATAGACCAATTAAATATTTCGTCGTTAACATGAACCGGAAGTTTGATCTAAATCATCTTCAGAAATTTCATACGCCAAAACAAAACTTCGTGACCGTCATCAGTATTTAGAGTTTTCTTTTAACCATAATTCAACTTCCCAACTTATTACCGATGCCGTATTTTTTTCGTATATTTTAAGATAATTTTTAACTGTAACTTATGGCAGAACTAGTCCATTAATTTTCTTAAGTTCTTCATATAGATTTAGGTTTCAAACCAGTTGAATAGTTTTCTATTTCCTTTTTGGCCATTTATCCCCTATCGACTGACAGTCAGAATTTTCATGTCGTGACATTTTCAGTACGAAATAATAATATATCATCACACATCTCAAATAAAAGATAAATCGCGGCAGAACACTGAATTTCAGCCCGAAGCTTCACTTTGTTACAACGATAGTAACGTTTTACTCCTTCTTCAGTCGTATGTTTTTGTATTGACCAGGTCTTCTATTTTTGATAAATTCCTCAGCGCTCCGCACAGTTATAAATTTTCTTTCAAAAACCCAAACTTTATTTGCCTTCGACGTTTTTTCGTATGCTCTGTGATTTTATATTCGTCTTCATCTGATTCCGATGAAGTACTCTACACGGCGGAGACACGAACTCGGTCCCGCTAAGTTTTCATTCGCCATTGCAAAGAAGATAGATACCAAAACACACCCAATAAAAGCAAGTGCTCGCACGCGACTAAATGGGGGGGTGGGGGGGGGGGGGGGGGGGGGGCGCGGCGCTTGCGGTGTGGTGGGGGGAGGATCGTAAGCCGCAGACATAACTTAATATGGCATGCTTCATTTGGTAATAAGCCTACATTTTATGTCAATTAGTGTTTATTTAGGCAGAAATAGCCATTAATTTGCTCGCTAAGATTTGGTGATCATTTACTACATTTGGTGTTCGAAT